GATAGAGAGAAGATGGATGGATGGATAGATAGATAGATAGATAGATAGATAGATAGACTGACTGATTGATAGACAGAGAGACAGAGATAGAGATAGAGATAGATAGACAGACAGACAGACAGGCAGACAGGCAGACAATTCCATTAATAAAGATGCTTCCTGCAACCGCCTGGCCGAGGATGACCAGTCCCACAGATGATCCCCCGGGGAGGCGCTGGGCATGACTAACAGCTGAGAAACCAGAGACTCCGAGAGGCCTAACCGGGATTAAAGCCGAAACGAAGCGAGCTGAGCACAAGGGTGTCATTCCGCCCTCCCACCCACCCACCCCGAATCAAACGAAAGGGCAGATCCAGGATGGGGGGTCTGGAGGGGGGGGGAAAGCTGGCCCAGCCCTCGGACACGAGCGAAGGGTCCCTCCGTCCTTGCCCAGCCCAGCACGGGACGCAGCGGCTAAAAAGGCTATTTTGAGGTGCAGGAAAAATCGGCCGCGTAAAATCTGGGGGACGGGGGGCGGGGGTGTGCGTGTGGAGAAATCAATCCAGGCGGTCCTCGGTTTACGACCGTTCGCTTAGCGACCGCTGGAAGGGACAGCGGCATTGAGGAAAGCGGCTTACGGCCAAACTCCTCGCCCTTACGACCGTCGCAACATTCCCCGCGGTCACATGATCTGAATTGGGGCTTAGGTTTTTTTTTTACGACGGTGGCAGACACGCACTCCCCCCTCCCCAGGGGTCAGCAAGCAAAGTCCGAGGGGGAAGACGGATTCGCTTAATGACCCGCGTGCTTCGCATAACAACCGCAGTGATTTTGCTTAACGAGCAACGAAGATCGTAAAACCCGGGTTGTGACTCGCTTAACAACCGCCGGGATGTCTGGCCTCCACTGTGGTCGTAAGTCAAGGATTTCCTGGGAGTTCAGAGAGGGGCTGCCAAAATGGGGAGAGGTCGGTTGGTCCCCACCGGACGTTATGAGGAGATCTGAATGGGTTTAGCCTGCAGAAGAGACCCCGGAGGCTTCCGCTATCAAGAGAATTGTTGGATAGAGGGAGTCTTCGACTTACGACCAGGACAGAGCCCAAAATTTCATGAACCGTTTGACTCCTGAAAGGGAGATATTCCATCAAAGGAATATTTATTTAATATGTATTTATGATGACTATGATCATGATTGATCAGTTACAGCTTTTATGTACACTGAGAGCGTGCGCACCGGAGACAAATTCCTTGTGTGTCCAATCACTCTTGGCCAATAAAGAATTTTCGTCTCTTCTCTTCTCTTCTCTTCTCTTCTCCTCTCCTCTCCTCTCCTCTACTCTACTCTACGCTAGTCTATTTTATTCCTTATTCTATTCTATTCTATTTTCTATTCTATACTTCTATTCTATTCTATTCTTCTATTTTATACTTCTTCTCTTCTCTTCTTTCTCTTCTATTCTATATTTAATTTAATTCTATTCTATTCTATTCTATTATATTATTTCTTCCTTTTCTCCTCTTCCCTTCTTTCTATTCCTTCCATTCCATTCTATCTACTGTATCTACTTTATTCTATTCTATTCTATTCTATTCTATTCTATTCTATTCTGTTCTGTTCTATTCTGTTCTGTTCTATTCTATTCTATTCTATTCTATTCTATTCTGTTCTGTTCTGTTCTGTTCAATTCTAATTCTGAATTCTATTATTCTATTGTTTTCTATTCTATTGCTCTTCTTTTTTCTTTTCTCTTCTATGTTCTATTCTATACTTCTTCTCCTCTTCTTTCTCTTCTCTTCTATATTTAATTCAATTCAATTCAATTCAATTCAATTCAATTCTATATTCTATTCTATTCTATTCTATTCTATTCTATTCTATTCTATTCTATTCTATTCCTCTTCTCCTCTCCTCTTTCTATTCCATTCCATTCTATATTTCATCTCTCCTAGATGCTTTTAACACATCAGAACAGGGGGCTGGACTAGATGACCTCTGAGCTTCCTCACCAGACTTAAGACCCGCTCCTCTGTTTCTCACATTAGAGCCACCAAACGAATGCTTTCCCTTCCCTAAATAGCTGGAAAAAAACAACAACGGTCCAAGCTGGCCAGGATTTGGGGATTGGCGGGGGGGGGACTTTTCTTCCCTTCCAGATGAAGCTCACTCTGCCCCCCCCCTTAAGCACCTGCTCCCCACCCACTCAATTTAGGCTAAAGCCAGGACTCTCACTCCAGTTGGTTCTGCCAGGAGGTTATTTTCGGAGCCAGCCTTGGCGCCCTGGCTTCCCTGCGGAGAGGAGTGGGGGGGAGAGATCTGAAGGGCACATGCATGGGGGGGTGGGGGTCTTTCTCTAAATGCCCCCCTCCCAAGAGGAACCAAACACAAGACCTGTTCAAGGAGGGGAAGGGAATAGCATGACCTCCCTCCCCTCCCCTTCCCTTTCTAGCTCAGGGCTCAAGTTACGGACCCCCTCTGCCCCCCCTTCCCAAAGCCTGCCGGCAGCTGTGCCATCCCGTGACCACAGTGCGAGGATTGGCACGTCTTGGCCCCCCCCTCCCAAAGTCAGACTGGCTGGGTCCCCGCCATGCCCCTGCCCGCCTTCCCTTGGGCAGCTCAATCATCGGGCTTCAGCTGTTGCGTGAAGGGGGCCGTCCCATGGATTTTTAAGGGTCGGGGGACGGTTTCTTGACCCCGGTTAGGGGCAAGAGAGTTGCCTGAACTGCCCCCCCTCCCCACGAGTCGATAGGCCTCTGGCTGGGTTTCATTGGGGGGGGTAAGAAGAGGAGGAAGAGAAGGGGTTTTTTTGGGGGGGGGGGGAGAAAGAGAAAAGGGATTAAAATGGATTTTTTCCACCTGCCTGCTTTTTTTCCCCCCTGGGGGTATTAAATAAAATGTGGACAGAGAAGGGGGAAACTTTGGGGAGGGGGCGTGCCAGGTAGATTTGGGGTGGGGGCCAGGGGGGGCATCCCAACAATGCTACCTTAAACTCTGCAATTATATTCCAATGTGTTGGTTGGTTTGTTCATCATTATTTCCTTCTTCATTCTTCTCTTAGTTATTCTTTTTTTCCCCTGTATTATTCATTTGTTCATTCTTTATCCATTTTTCTTATTCCTTGGCTTTCTTTGTTCTGTCTTTCTTTTTTGGTTTACCCATTCTTTGTTTGTTACTTTAGGTTATTATTGATGGATTGGCTATTTGATTGATTAGACGTTGTTTACTTATTCGTTGTTTGTTTATTTCTTCTTTATTTCTTCTTCAGTCATTCATTCTTGAACATTTTTTATCGATTAGTCTTCTTTCTTCTTTCTTTCTTCTTTCTTTGTTGTTTGTTTAGTTATTCATTACATTTATTATTCGCTAGTTTCTCCATGATTTATTTTATCTGTCTTTGGCTCTATCATCTATTTCTATCATCTGTATCTATCTCTATCCATGTATCTATCTATGTATCATTGTATCTATCTATGTATCTATCATCTATCTCCATCCATCCACCCATTCATCCATCCACTTCTACCTACCTACCTACCTACACCTGTCTATCCATCTTCTATCATCTATCTATCATCTATCTATCCTAATCAATCAATCAATCCATCCATCCATCCATCTTCTCTCTCTCTCTCTCTCTACCTACCTACATATATCTGTCTGTCAGTCTATCCATCCATCTTTTATCATCTATCTATCATCTATCTATCCTAATACATCCATCCATCCATCCATCTTCTCTCTCTCTCTCTCTCTCTCTCTCTCCCTACCTACCTACCTACATATATCTGTCTGTCAGTCTATCCATCCATCTTCTATCTATCATCTATCCTAATCAATCAATCAATCCATCCATCCATCATCTATCTATCTATCTATCTATCTATCTATCTATCTATCTATCTATCTATCTATCTACCTACCTCTATCTATCTATCTATCTATCTATCTATCTATCTATCTATCTATCTATCTATCTATCATCTATCTACCTACCTACCTACCTACCTACCTACATCTATCTATCTATCTATCTATCTATCTATCTATCTATCTATCTATCTATCTATCTATCATCTATCTATCTATCTATCTATCTATCTATCTATCTATCTATCTATCTCTATCTACCTACCTACCTACCTACCTACCTACCATCTATCTATCTATCTATCATCTATCTATCTATCTATCTATCTATCTATCTATCTATCTATCTATCTATCTATCTATCATCTATCTATCTATCTATCTATCTCTATCTACCTACCTACCTACCTACCTACCATCTATCTATCTATCATCTATCTATCTATCTATCTATCTATCTATCTATCTATCTATCTATCTATCTATCATCTATCTATCATCTATCTATCTATCTACGTACCTCTATCTATCTATCTATCTATCTATCTATCTATCTATCTATCTATCTATCATCTATCTATCTATCTATCTATCTATCTATCTATCTATCTATCTATCTATCTATCCTACTATCTACCTACCTACCTACCTACCTACCTCTATCTATCTGTCTGTCTATCTATCTATCATCTACCTACCTACCTACCTATCCATCCATCTCTCTCCTGGAAGTCGATATCCCGTACGTATCCCTCCCCTCCCCGCAGCCCCTTCTCGGACTGGTTCCCTAATCGCGACCCGATCCACCTGTGGAAACTTGTCCTACCTGGCCGGGTTGTTGTGAGTGGAAAGAAAAGGCTCAGAGATGGCGAGAAACTCCAGAGAACCCGGAGGGTGGTGGGCGAGGTGCAGAACGCGGAGTTGTCCGCAATCACAGTAATTATTATCTTAATGATTGATTAGGATCGCCCCAGGAAAGCCGCGCAGTACCAACTACCCAAGAGAGGGGGGTCTCTCGCCGCCCCCGCGTCCCTCGCCCCCCCAACTCCAAGCTCTGCCCCCTCCCCCCGGGGGGCGGGACCAATGAGCGGCCGAGGGAGGGGGCAGCTGGGTACCCTGGCCGGCCCTGGCCAGAGCCCGGGAGTCGCCAGCCGGGCGCGGGACACCCCGCTCGCTGCTTCTTTCCAAGCGCTTCCTGGCCTCGAGGGCAGCCCCCTTCCCCGGGACCCTTTGTGACTGCCCCTCCAGCCTTGGGATTAAACTCAACGGCCGCGACCCCAGCCTCAAAAGACCCCCCACCACCCTGCCAGAAAGATGCCAGCCGGCTTCCAGCAGATCCGAAGAGAAGAGGAAGAGGAGGAGGAGGAGGAGGAGGCGATGAAGGTGATTTGGAGCGTGGGGGAGTGGGAGGGGGCGAGCGGGAGACTAACAGGTCAAAAAGACCCCCCACCCCAATTTTCTCCGCGAGAGCGGAGCGCTTGGGAAAGCCTTTCGGAGCGCCTGGGCGCCCGCGGGCGCTCTCTTGCAAATGGCTCTGGGGACGGAGTCTTCTTTCGTTTTTTCCCCCCGTGCCTTGTGCGAGGGCGGGGCTGCTCCTCCCTCGGAGGTTCTCTGAGCACGTGCAGAGGGCTTTTTCAGGACTCCCCGCCCCTCCCCCTCCCCCCGCGCGTCAAATTCACATGTCAGCCGTCCAGCATGTATTGGGCATGACTTGGCATGTGAACAATAAAAATAAAAATAAAAATTGAGCAGGGACGTGTTTGCGCTAGAAATCGGGCCCTGGCATGTTTCAAAGCTCTCCGCTGTTCCTCCTGTTCCTCACTTGATGGGCTGTCAGGGAGTTGATTTAGATACAGATTAACAGAGTTGGAAGTGGGACCTTGGGGGTCATCTAGTCCAACCCCGAGATAGCTGGTCCGGTCTCTTCTTGAAAGCAGCCCAGATGGACAGTTTGAGCAGGTCGTGAGGATGGAGCTTTGGCTGGTTTCAGGGAAGGGAGGCCTCGAATCTGGGTTTCTCGTAGAAGAAGCTGATATCTGGATCGATAAATCTGAAAGGGCAGGTTTCTAGACCTCATGGAATTCAGGAAGGAAGCCGGCGCCTGTTAAAGTGGGGGGGGGGTTTAATCCATTTTTGTGGTGTCTCTTGTTGGCGGTGCAAAGGAGCATTTTTCTTACAGAAATACCATTCAGGCAGTCCTCGACTTATGATGCTTCACTTAGTGACCGTTCCAAGTTCAAATGGCACCGGAAAAAGTGACTCGTGACTGTTTTTTTTCACACTTAACGACCGTTGCAGCATCCCACTGGTGACGTGATCAAAATATTCACATTTATGACGGTCAAAAGCGTCCCGGGATCAGGTGATTCCCCTTTTTGCGACCTTCTGATGAGCAAGGGGGGGAGCCGGGTTGGCTTAACAACCGTGTGACTCGCTTCACAACTGGCAGCGATTCGCTTAACAACGGTGGCAAAGAAAGTCGTAAAGTGGGACAAAACGAATGTTTCGCTTAGCAACGTAAATTTGGGGCTCCCTTGTCGTAAATTGAGGACTACCTGTCATGATTTTCAGCTTTGCTGCATAAGGGGGGGGGAGGACAAGGGCAGTCCTTTTGAAATAACTACCTTACCAATGTGGCTCAACCTTGGGAAGTTTAAGCTGTGTGGACTTCAACTCCCAGAATTCCCTGCCCACAAGGGTCTCCCCTAGCAAAGTGGTGAAATCAGGCGCGATTCATTGAACGACCGCCTCGCTTAGCAACAATGATGGGAGCTGTAGTCCAAAAGCAGAAGAAGGAGACTTGGATAGCCACAAGTCAGAAATAATATAGGTGTCCTACGAGAGCAGGGGGTCAGACTAGATGACCTCCAACTCTTGTTACTGTTAAAAAGCTGTAGTCCTTGACTTACGACCGCAGTGGGGCGTGGGCCCAAATGTCTGTTGCTAAGTGAGTTTTGCCCCGTTTTAAGACTTTCCTTGCCCCCGTTGTTAAGTGAATCAGTGCACACGGTTGTTAAGTGAGTCTGGCTTCCCCGTTGCTCGTGAGAAAGTTGCAATAGGGGATCAGTAGTGACCTCTGGGACACTGTGACCGTCGTAAATATGAGTCAGTTGCCAAGCATTCCGAATTTTGACCGTACTGTGACGGTCGTAAGTGTGAAAAAACGGTCCTGTGTGACTTTTTTCAGTGCCGTTCTTAATTTGAACGGTTACTATACGGACTGTCGTAAGTCGAGGACTATCTGTAGCTGCAGATGAACTCCGGTTAGATGTGGAAGCCAATTCAAGATTAATAACATTTTGCAGTGATTCATTAATTGCAAAATGTAACTAATGTTTTCTGATTTATATCCATCATTTCTTAGCTTTGAAGGGACGGTTTCTGAAACCTGGTGCCTTTAAGTGGGGTGACTTACTTATTTATTTTGAAATATTTATTTATTTATTTTGAAATATTTATTTGTTTGTTTTGAAATCTTTCTTTCTTTCTTTCTTTCTTTCTTTCTTTCTTTCTTTCTTTCTTTCTTTCTTTCTTTCTTTCTTTCTTTCTTTCTTTCTTTCTTTCTTTCTAAATGTATTTGCTGCCCCTATGGGAATCAAACAATGTTGGGCGGCTTACAGCATAAAAACATTTCCAAAAAAGACAAAAAACTCCCTCTGGACACACTGAGAATGTATCTGCCGAACAAAACTCCGCATTGGTGACAGGAAGGGCATCCGGCCAGTAAAACACTCAGCTCCATTCAGTTGTCCAGACTCCACCCCCCGCAAGGGATGATGGGATCATTAAAAGATATAGACAGACAGACAGACAGATAGATAGATGATATGGATGGATGGATGGATGGGTTAGAGAGCGAGACAGAGATAATAGATGATAGATGATGGATGGATTATAGAGAGAGATAAATAGATAGATGATGGATGGATTAGAGAGAGAGAGGGATGGATGGATGGATTACAGATAGATAGATAGATAGATGATAGATAGATAGATGATAGATGATAGATGATAGATGATGGATGGATGGATGGATGGATGAATTAGAGAGAGAGATATATAATAGATGATGGATGGATGGATTAGAGATAGATGGATGGATGGATGGATTAGAGATAGAGAGAGAGATAATAGATGATGGATGGATAGATTATAGAGAGAGATAAATAGATAGATGATAGATGGATGGATTAGAGAGAGAGAGAGGGATGGATGGATTACAGATAGATAGATAGATGATAGATGATGGATGGATGGATGGATGGATGAATTAGAGAGATATATAATAGATGATGGATGGATGGATGGATGAATTAGAGAGAGATATAATAGATGATGGATGGATTAGAGATAGAGAGAGAGATAGAGAGAGATATATATAATAGATGATGGATGGATGGATTACAGATAGATGGTTGGATGGATTAGAGATAGAGAGAGAGAGAGATAATAGATGATGGATGGATAGATTATAGATAGATGATAGTTGATAGATGATGGATAGATGGATGGATTAGAGATAGATACAGAGAGAGAGAGAGAGAGAGAGAGAGGTAGAGAGATAGATAATAGATGATAGATGGATGGATTAGAGATAGATAGATAGATAGATTAGAGATAGATAGATAGATTAGGATAGATAGATGATAGATGATGGATGGATTATAGATAGATAGATGATGGATGGATGGATGGATGGATGGATTAGAGATAGAGAGAGAGATAGAGAGAGAGATAATAGATGATGGATGGATGGATTATAGTTAGATAGATAGATAGATAGAGATTAGCATTTGGGGCTGTGCTGTGCATTATCTATGAGAAGCGAAAGGTTTGATGGCGGAGGAAGTGTGAAGGGTGTGCAAAGTGTGTCCCCAATGAAAGCAACATTGCTGGGCAGCTTTTTCAGAGATTGTGGGTGTGTTTTTTGTGCATCGCACTGGGAGAAATCTATTGTGTTGACATTGGGTTAGGAGGCTGGACAAAAATTTCTGCCACCCTCCCAGCTTACACACACAAACACACACACACACACACACACACACACACGTGTGTGCACAAAAGTGCATTGCACAGGGTCCCCGTGTGACTTTCAGTGCTTGGCCGGGTGCCAGCTCTGCTTATAACTCCTGTCACCTTCGGAGACCTTTTTCCTTGAGCTGGAGTGAAGTCGGTTTCTAAAAATGGGTCTTTAGGGGTTTCAAGTCCCCCCCCCCAAGACTGGCCAGGAAAGGTTGCCCTGCAGGGGGGGGGTGTTTTTTCTTCCTTCTTTCCTTCTTCATACATTTTTTTCTAGTATGTTTTTTCAACCTATCTCACCCTTTTTCTATTTTCCTTCCTCCTTCCCTCCCTCCCTCCTTCCTTTCTTCTCTCATACATTTTCTTTCTTTTTTTCAACCTTCCTTTTACTTCCTTTCTCCCTCTCTTCCTTCCTTCTTCTACTCTCCATCCATCCTTCCATCCCTTCCTCCCTTCCTCCCTCCCTCCCTCCCTCTCCATCCTTCCCTCCCACTCTTCTCTGTCCTTCCTTCCCTCCCTCCCTCCCACCCTCCCTCTCCATCCTTCCCTCCCTCCCACCCTTCTCTATCCTTCCTTCCTTCTTTCCTTCCTTCTCCCTCCCTCCCTCCTGTCCTTCCTTCCCTTCCTCCCTTTCTCTACTCTCCATCCTTCCCTCCCTCCCTCCCTCCCTCTCCATCCTTCCCTCCCTCCCACCCTCCTCTGTCCTTCCTTCCCTTCCTCCCTCCTCTGTCCTTCCTTCCTTCCCTTCCTTCCTCCCTCCCACCCACCCTTTTCTGTCCTTCCTTCCTTCCTTCCTTCCTTCCTTCTCTGTCCTTCCTTCTTCCCTTCCTTCCCTCCCTCCCTCCTCTGTCCTTCCTTCCCTCCCTCCCTCCCTCCCTCCCTCCCACCCTTTTCTGTCCTTCCTTTCCTTCCTTCCTTCCTTCCTTCCTTCCTTCCTTCCTTCCTTCTTTCTTTCTGTCCTTCCTTCTTTCCTTCCTTCCCTCCCTCCCCCCTCTGTCCTTCCTTTCTTCCCTTCCTCCCTCCCTCCCACCCACCCTTTTCTGTCCTCCCTTCCTTCTTTCCTTCCTTCCTTTCCTTCCTTCCTTCTCTGTCCTTCCTTCTTTCCTTCCTTCCCTCCCTCCCACGCACCCTTTTCTGTCCTTCCTTCCTTCCTTCTCTGTCCTTCCTTCTTTCCTTCCTTCCTTTCCTTCCTTCCTTCCTTCTTTCTCTGTCCTTCCTTCTTTCCTTCCTTCCCTCCCTCCCACCCACCCTTTTCTGTCCTTCCTTCTTTCCTTCTTTCTCTGTCCTTCCTTCTTTCCTTCCTTCCTTTCCTTCCTTCCTTCCTTCTTTCTCTGTCCTTCCTTCCTTCCTTCCTTTCCTTCCTT